ATCGTACTAAGTTATCTCACCTTTCCGCAACAGTGATCAACATGCTACGAACAATGCACACGTGCTTCTGACCCACTTCACGTGCGGCGCCACGTGCATGGATTGTGCGGTGGCTTGTTACTCGACTAGTCGTAACTCTAGCATCAATCATGACAGTGGTTTCCTCCATCCCGCCCTCTCTCTTCGTGTCCTCACGGGATGTACTCATATACCTGACTCTATGTATCGTGACCGCCGTCTCCGTGGAGTGGTGACGCCGTCTCCGTGGAGTGGTGACGCCGTCTCCGTGGAGTGGTGACGCCGTCACCCGTGTTTGTCTTCCCTCAGCATCTGTGGGTGTAGTGGGCTTACCCGCCGTGCTCTCTTCCTCGCATAATACGTCGCAGTTGTTTCCACCAGGAAACCGTCGCGCTGTCTATGTAGGATTCTCTTATTGTGACTAATGCGAGGCCTACTACTGCCAACAATCCTCACAGTACCATCAATAGTTAGCCTGCTAACTCTATCTGGTTGCAGTTCTTCTAAGGGTACTACCAGCACCAGAGCTCCTGTGTCAAGCACTCCTGTAGTGAGCACTCCTGTAGTGAGCACTCCTGTGTCGAGCACTCCTGTAGTGAGCACTCCTGTAGTGAGCACTCCTGTGTCGAGCACTCCTGTAGTGAGCACTCCTGTAGTGAGCACTCCTGTACCGAGCACTCCTGTAGTGAGTACTACGCCTTCACCGACTGGGGCTGCAGCGTAAGGAAGCATCACCCTTCGCCTCGGGCTCATTGTCTTTAGGTTTGTCACCTCGCAAAATGGTGGTAATATGACACGTCGGTCCATCACAATTGACCAAGGTCCGGCAGCTACTTATCATGTCAAGTTGAATACGGGTAAGCTAACATGTAGCATCGATGAGTATTCACTTCTGTTAAAGTGTTGTTCAACTGGCCACAGCACGCATGGTCTCGGAACAGACTTGTATCCGTTCATTTTCAGCGTCGTTGAATCCTAGACCTGTCGAAGGTTTTGGGGGTGCATTCACAGCGGCATCTGGCGTGAATTACAAGAAGTTGAGTGATGATGATAAACGCAAATTCATCGAATTGTGAGTGTCTGTCCCAACATCCATGATGATGATGATGATGATGATTTGTCGGTGTAGGTACTTTGGCCAGAGTGGACTCCGCTACACTATGGGCAGGATACCAATCAACTCGTGTGACTTCAGTCCGTATACCTACGCCTTTGCCAACGTGTCTGATGACTTCGCTTTGGAGCACTTCGATGAGTCTTTGGAGGGAGATGAAGACACCGGTATGATTCAGCTCATGCACGATGCTTTGGGGAAGGCGTCAT